CACATTTTTTAAAAAAGAAAATTGATTAAAATTAACAATAATCAATAATTTATTTTGTTTTGTTCAGGCCAGGCTGGCTTGCTGGAAAAGCCAACTTTTTAGGGCGCGTTGGAAGGACCGGAGGTCGAGGATTATATGAAGCTCCGGGGGCAGCTCATTCCAGAGGGAAGGCGCTCCCACAGAGAAGGCTCTCCCCCTGGGGATCGCTAGCCAACACTGTCTGGCCGACGGCACCCTGAGGAGGCCAACTCTGTGGGATCGCACTGGATGGTGGGATGCTACCGGTGGCAGTAGGTGGTCTCGCAGGTATACACCTGCTTTATTGCAATTCACAAGAACACAGATTAAACTGTGTAAGCCTAAGCACCAAGAAGTACTTTCCTGCTGCTACTTTATTCCTAAATGGGAAAACTAAATTTCTACAACATAGTTAATAGTTCACTTGAACCAAGTTCAATAGTTAATTGAATCACGAGAAAGGGCACTGAATGTAAATGAACAAACAGATGCACATGAAACTGTTAGGAGCAAAGAGTTCAAAAGCAAATGAGTAGAGAAATAGAAAATAAAATGGAAGGGGAAATTACTCCATAAATACAGGTAGTCCTTGACTTACAACCACAATTAAGCACAAAATTTCTGTTGTTCTGTTGAGACATTTGTTAAATGAGTTTTGCCCTGTTTTACGACATTTCTTGTCATAGTTGCTAAGTGATTCACTGCAGTTGTTAAGTTAGTAACCCGGTTGTTAAGTGAATCTGGCTTGTCCATTGACATTGCTCATCAGAAGGTCAGAAAAGATGATCATGTGATCCTGGGATACTGAACCCCTTGGCAAATTTATGAATCTTGATCACATGATCATGGGAAATGTTGCAAAGGTCGTAACTGTGAAAAACGGTCATAAGTCACTTTTTTCAGTGCCATTGTAACTTTGAAGGGTCACTAAATGAACTGTTGTAAGTTGAGGACTACCTGTTCCTGTGTTCGGCCTCCCTTTATCCCCCCTCCCATTTTCTCTCTCTCCTATACATGCTCATTAGACATACAGTCAATACGATAAGATCAGTGATGGGTTTGTACCAGTTTTACTACCAGTTCGCTGTGCGTACAACGCTTCTGCACATACGCAGAAGCATCCAGATGGGTGGGCAGAG